TGTTCATGTATGTATCAGGAATTTCTCTGCTCAACTGGATTTAACACGAATACGAGACACGAGCAATCGACAACCACATAGGGTTTTAGGGTTTGCCGTGGGCGGTTGTGCGAGTATTGCAGACACGCAGTTGTATGACCTGGTAGATATAATCCTTATCCGGGATGTGATGAAATGTAAGGATCTAAAGAAGGACTATCCTAATCTCATGAAAGTGTATAAGACTTTTGGTGCGTTGTCCGGTGTCCAAAAGTACCTACAGTCCGACCGCCGTCACACCAAGGTCAACGGCAATGGTTTGGGATGAGCCGAGTATTTGCGCGAGAAATAAGGTGCACCCCCAACTTAGTAATGTGATGGTATCAAACCTGGACCACTAAGTTAAAAAAATAATAGAAATGAGCGACACGCCCATCGCAAAACTATACCTACTACTTCTGTAACTGTCACGTTGACAGAGAATAAACAACGTCTAGTTTCTTTCGGACTTTGTTTAGTACTCGAGGTGTTGAGTATGGGTTGACGCGGATCACAACCTCCTTCCTCCGTATTAAGTATTTACGTAGATAGAAAAAGATCCCATTGGTTTAATCAATTTGTTTTAATGTGGTCATGACTTGCGAAACTTTCCGTGTTTAGCCACGTTCAAACTTTCCGTGTTTAGCCACGTTCAAGTTCATCGATTCGTAGAAACTCCTATCGCCCCATAGGCCGTATCAGAAGTTTGACCCAGCACTACAGGTGCAAATGCCCTACACCCGCGACAGTCAGGTGCAGGACCGTCAGGTGCAGTGAGACAGTCTACGACACCCACTGTGAGATGAGGCAACGGCGGTGATATGAGCGGTAGCCTTCGCTAGATATGTGCATACAAGCTATGCATTTCGATCCGTCTACCATAGTTTGTGTGTGGGCTGCTGCATGCATGCATGCTGGCTACTGAACCAACCAAGCCTGTACGCGTCCATTTCCCATCCAACCAGTGGGTGGTATGTGTATGTAATTGAGTATCGGCCTCGCTTACATACATTGGCCTGGACCTGTTTCCCATTACGAGCATGCTAAGGGCATTGATTGGTATTCAGATACCATGGGGTGTACCTCCGTCTGGTTTTAACCCTTTTCCGAACAGTGGTCGTTGGTCGTTCCCACTGCCACAGGTCAGTGCCCGTGCCCATCCGCAACTATCCACCGCCTGCTCAGCAAACAAGGCTGTGGACCATACTACAAGTGAGGAAAAGAAAACGAACACATGCGCACGCCCCTAACTGATCCAGATGGCTTATAGTATGGCCTGGTGGCTTCAATCCTGCACCTCCATGTCAAACCAGGTCCTACGTACCCTCGAGATCTATTGGGTATAGGGATAGGCAACTCTTGAGGCCCATTGGGTATAGGGATAGGCAACCCAGATCGACCCGTCCTTGCGCTCCATCACAGTCCTGATTCATCACAGTCCTTATCTCGCACACCATTCCCCACTCGCCCTGACGCGACCACACTGCGAGCCGATCTGCCACAGCACCCTTCGGTCAGCAACACAGTTAGCCGCATAGGTGCTGCCCCTCGCATTACTTGTACGCGCGTATATGATACAAATGTCTGTACCCATGTAAGAGCACGTTTTGTCACGTACGTATCAGTGTGTGTGTGTGCTAGCGTGGACTTGTGTGAGTCGTGAGTGTCCATGCATGGGCAAGTCGCGCGAAGGGTCGCACGCACTCACTCGCACGGTAACAAAGAGTACCGAACTGCTCGCACGGAGAACATTGCGTTTCACAGTGCACTAGATCGGCACACGTATGGTACTCCCACCGCAATTGAATGGGAGGACCCCATACTAGTATCAGGCTACCTTCTACTTACCCATCCCCCTACGGTCTGGTACGGGACACGAACAAATCTGTCTTAAGTATGTGTCCGTGTAGCATCGCAGTGGAGGGGTGTATCTATGTTATCGCCTGCTCCAGATATGCGTCAGCCTTCGCACAGCGCCAGAATCACGGGCGTTGACCGGACGTACTGGGTTTGCGCGCCAAATACTACTGTGGTCTGGGTTCAGAGTGTCTGGCAGAGTGTAGACATTGCTTGCGGTTTGCTCACGACATCCAAGCGCACTACCCCAGTCAACAGGCTGAGATATATAGGCCCAATTAAAGGGGGGCAACTGTCGCCCGCCTGTGGTAGTAATCCACCCCAGTTCAGTTACCAGTCTCTGCGGCCCTAAATGGTATGCATTGGGACAGCGGAGAAACCACGGATGCACTTTGAGTATGCGAGAGCACACACATCTGACATGAGCGAATATCTACGATAGTAACTATAGCAACGATAGCAACGATAAGAACTATAGCAGCGATACCAACGATAGTAACTATAGCAGCGATACCAACGATAGTAACTATAGCAACGATACCACCGATAGTAACTATAGCAACGGTACCAAAGATAGTAATTAGTTGCGTGTCATCTGCAGGACAGGCCTGTATGCATGCATACAACGCATTCAACGCATATTTGTTGCCGTTGTGTTTTCGTGCCGAGGAGTCTCCCCACGAGAACTAAACATCACTGCCTGGAGCACATAGAAACGAACACAAACGCGGTGGCACACAAGACCTAACGGCCCACTCTCAAACATCGAGGTGCACCAATACATACCCCTCTTCGGGATTAAAAGGGGCCCTTTTCCTTCGAAATCTGGACCAGTTGATTTTCGGCCAATTCGGCCGTGCCAGAAACCTACCCACAGCGGATTCGCTCGCGGGGAGTATCAGCAGGAACAGTAGGTAGTTGCCCATCAGCATCATGATGAACCCAGCCGCCGCAGCATCGGCCGAGCTCACCAGCGAATCATTGGGAGACAGAGCCGATATTGTCAGTATGAAGTCGACGCTCTGCCAGGGACCGTTGGTGAGGAGAGGTTAGTAGTGGGGCGAGGTTAGTAGTGAGGAGAGGTTAGTGGTGACGTGAGTCGTTGCTGCACAAGGATGCACAAGCCGTGTGCGGGCGGTCAGTCGTGCCAGTGTATGCACTTGTGAAGCATAAGGGACGGATTACTAACTGCCTTCCCGTCGTTAGTAGGAGGTCTACGCTCTGAGGCAGAAACGTCCTGAGTATTTGTGTGTGACGTTTAGATGGTTTTGATATGTGCTGGGGTGGCGTAGCCCGTTTTGAACTATGGTCTGGTGCGGAATATATGATATGGCCATCAACTGGGGCAAGAAACCTCATATATACACCTCATATATACACCTCGTATATATACACCTCATATATACACCTCGTATATACACCTCGTATATACACCTCTTATATACACCTCGTATATACACCTCATATATACACCTCATATATACGTGGTGTGACTATCTATTGGCGCGATGGCATCCCCATGCAAATAGCGCAATGACGTGCACCCGCACACGCGGTAGCTTCGCTATTGCATGACTCATTGACGAGTACGCGCACATCAGATGTATATGAAACACAGGACAATAGATGACTCATTGCGGATGTATATCAAACCCAGACAGCTAACAGAAGGTTAGCCATACCACTTACCACGGTGAATACGGCCGTCGCCAGTAGCATAAGCCCTGCCAGCAGCAGCTTATAGTCGTACCAGGTTCTGTACTTGATGGCCAGATAGATCCCTGTGATGGCATCACACAGTCGGTGAGCGTGGCTTACAGAGCGTCACAAGGGGACAGTCGTGTCTGTATACACGATGCGCATGTGTTCACTCAATAATCCACACTGCCACTTACAGCCGGCGATGGCGTTAGCGTGTACGGGAACGCGCCACAAGAGGAATTGTGTGTACGTATATGCAAAGCCAAGCAATGGGAAGACAGCATGCAACAAACCGAATGGTAGTGCTGATGTACAGTATGTATTATACGTATCTTTACCACACATCAGTGTATGCACTCTGGTGGGTGCGGTGTATACGCATTGAGAACTCGTGGCCACGCTTCATCGGGAGACTACACCGTGTAGATACACACATAATATTTGCCTTGTCCATGTACTGCACACCCTAGCATGCCTGTCGGGTCAATCAACACACACACAAGCCCCCTCAAGCCCCAGCGCCTACATTACCTGCAACAGCGAATAACTCTAGGAACAGCGCAAACCAGGACATGCCAAACCCAGGACCACACGAGTTAACCACAGCCGACTGCCCATCACTTCCGGTGACGTTCACCTGAATGCAATTGGATTTCAGTTGGTCAACCACCGCCGCCAGGCCGGCCAGAGAAATTGTCCAGGATAACCCTGTATCGACATATGGCGGCAGATGTGAGGTTAGTACGGGTGTGGTACCTGGGTCGATGTATAGTGAAGGAAAGTGCTTCGCGTGTGTTAAACATGTGTACCCCGAGTTATTAGGAAGTGCGTGCTTTTGACCGCAGTAGATTGGAGACTCAAGTCGTGGTGAAATACGATGGGTGTGCAGACACCAACGAAGACCCAACTCTGATGCAAATACGTGGGAATACACTTCGTTTACGGCTCTAAGTAGTTATGTACAGACACCACTCAAGTCGCCGAGTAAAAGCTTGTACAGAAGGTTGTTTAAGACGACTGACCCATCAAGAAATAAGATCAAGGCGCCACCGGGGTGTGATGACTATAAGACTAACAATCCACGGACCAACACGTGATATGGTGAAGTAGTAGAAGGTTTTTAACGCATGGACTACTGCCGCATGGATAAACATGCACAAACAAATCAGCGGCAGATGCAAAATTTCACAGTAGTACGAACAAGTACAATCTTCGGTATAGTGACAAGCGGATGCCAGAGTACACTGGAGTGCTGAGGCCAAATGGAGAGCCTCGTTGAATAAGTATGCGAATGCATGGATGTGATGGCCAACTGGCTACCATACACACATCTACACATACACATACCCAGTCAAACCGGCAATTCAATCGCAACTTATCATAATAGTACAGACATGTACAACCCTCCGTATAGTGACAAGCAGATCCCCAAAGACCACTGGCTGCGACCAAACACGGAGCACCTTTGAACAAGAATACGCATGCATGCATGTGATAGCATACTAGCTACCATGCACACCTCTACACATACCCAACCAAATAGTAATTCCGGTGAAAATCGGCATGCCAATGCCGTGTTTCGGGGTATCGGCGTCATAATCATCTGTCTGCGTACCCGTTTCCACGGGAGCGGATGGGGCAGATTCTGGCGTGATGTTTTCGAACTTACCATCATTGGAGGTGATACTGCCGCCGCTGCTTGCAGATCCGCTACGTACGGATAAGCCAACAACATCGGATTAGAAACTACGCTTGTGGCGTGATATTGCACAATCGTGGATGGTTTAAAGGAGGTACGATCAATATTCAATGGGTAATGGCTCCCAGTGCCGTTGTAGTTCGAGGTTTACGCTACAGCCGAATTTGAGTTATAAAACCAAAGACTTTAATGTATATCATGACATACTTTGCACGCAGATGTGTCATATTTTGGCGTAATACACGTCAAAACTTTTGTGAAACTTATAAGAAAATACAAAATGCACACATATAAGAAAATATGAGTATCGATATATCTATACTTATACATACACAAGCATATGAAAAATAAATTTAATTATGATTATAAAACATAAATATAAACATACATATATATCTATATCTATATCTATATATATATATATATTATAATTATTATTATTATATATATACTATTATATATATATATATACAATTAATATATATATATATATATATGTGTGTGTGTGTGTGTGTGCGTACGTATATATACGTGTATATACTAATATA